AAAGGATTCTGTAACGCTCATTTGGATTTCTCACGGCACTACTCTAAAAACCGCTGCTCATTTGTCTCCCACTTGTCTCCCATTCGTCTTCTACATTCTAGATGCTGTAACGCCCGTCTGGGACGCTAGGTTCTACTCGTCGTACTCATTTGTCTCCCACTTGTCTCCCATTTGTCTCCCACTTGTCTCCCATTGCGCGGTTGCTATCGGTACTTCTCAATTGCTGTTTGGGGTCGAGGCTGGTATAATTAGGGGTTTAGGGATTTAGGGTTTGGGGGTTTAGGGTTTGTTGGTGTGTCAGGTTGTAGGTTGCTGCGGGTTTCGACTGTGCAGCTTTAGACTTTTAGCTTAGCATGGTTTAGGGGACTTTTAAGAACCCTCTAAACCCTAAACCCACCATCTTAAGCTTTTAGCTTAGCATGGTTTAGGGCTTGGGGTTCAGAGTTGGTTTAGGGTTTAGGGTTAAGGGCCAGCATCCTTGGCCCGGAGCCTGGAGCCCTTGGTCTCAACGAGTTCCTTTCGGTAGGAAGGATCGGTTCTTGATTCGGATTGTGTACCTTTCCGGTTCGGTGGGTCTTACTTTTGAGCCTGTTCAACTTTCCGGTCCCTCATCCTCTAAACTCTGTGAGCCTAAGGCCTGAATCCTTGATCATTGCTATGACGGAAGTGGACTCCAGAATGCTTTGCCGGCGTAGCATGCTATTTGGCGTTGTGGAACAGTTTCCGTGATGGTTGTACAGTCTGAACCCTGCGGCGAAACATGACACCCACTCGTAGAGTGAGCTATTGGGGCCTCCCAGGTTTCAGGGGGAGAGACCTCGGATTTGTGCTTCGCTCACTTGCTAGAAATCCGGCATTTTCTATCTACAGCCCCTGACATGACAGACTTCAAAAACGTGCCCATCAGCTCTTATGCATGAGTATCTGGGATGACGGGTTTTGACCACAGGGTTGCATCCATTTGTTCCCGACCCATGTGTTGCAGGTTTCATACAAGTGGCCACCGAGTTCATAATCGTGGCTTCAGTTCGTTATCTGTCAAGACTGTTAGGGAGAGTGAGCAGGGACTGCGTGCTAGGCGGGCCTTCGGACGTCGGATCGTTTTGGGGATCAGTGAGAGGTTCGTTCATGTAAGGCTCGAACGTGCTAAATGCTAAACCCTGAACCCTAAACCCCTGAACCCCAAACCACAAGCCCTATAAACCCTAAACCCTTGACAGGCCTAAATCCCAAACCCTAGGCCCTAAACCCTAAGCCCTTCCCAGAACTTTGAAGTCAAGAGGTCATCGATGAGCACTGGGCGGAGCACGCCTGGTCCTTCAACTCCTTCTCACGGAGCCGGGGGCTTAGGTTTCATATCAGGGCTTGGGCTCTACGTAGGGTGGCTTGCTGTGCCTGATGCGGGTTCTATTTCCTCCACTCTTCTCGAGGGGATGGAGGGGTAGTTGAGGATTTTTTTGGTTTAGCCTCAAGCCCGAAGCCTACACCTTGAACCTTTGACCACAAAACATGAAGCTCGCAAAGCCGTAGTTGGATATCAACTGATATCTCTTCCCTAAAGCACGCATCGCAAGGCTCTAAAGGCACTCGTAAACTCCTGACAAACCTTACACAGCCTTATTCAACCCTAGACCACGTCTCCCAAAGAACCCAAACTAGTAGCAGACTCCAAACCTTCACCCGCTTGGAGCCCGTATAAGACCCCACCTAAGAAGCCTTTGAAGAGGGATATCCTTTGCTCAATTCCTTGCCCTAAACCCTAAACCCTAAACCCTAAACCCTAAACCCTAAACCCTAAACCCTAAACCCTCTGCTCCTTCAAGTGAGCCTGAGGTGTCGAGGGTGTTCTCTCTGTGCCTGGAGCCTGGATGAGAGCACCGGTTTGGGGTTTTGCCTGAAGGGTTATAATATAGAGGCCTTACGAATTGCCTGTATTATTTCGGGGGTTCCTTATTATAAGTCTAGTATAATGGCCCCCCAAACCCTATTCTAATTCTTAAGGCCCATATATTAGGTCTAGGGTTGACGGCGCAGGGTCGAGTTCTAAGGATTGAAAGCTTGGCACTCGGGGTTTAAGGCTTCGGGCGGGTTTAGGGTTTAGGGTTTAGGCGGTTTGGAGCGGCGAGTGCTCAGGGCTCAGGGTGTGGAATTCCAAGTGTTGGGTTGAGCACTGATTCTTTAACAGTTCCCTCTTCACAGGTGAAAGGCTGCAGGGTTTTACAGAATCGTGTGGCTGTGAGTTCGGGAATGGTTTTTGTTAGTTTCTTGGCCTTTGTCTGCGGAACTCATAACTCGTAACCCTCAACCCTAAACCCTCAGTATCAGTATGAGGGTTGAAAACATGGGCAGTGATCGTTTATACCTTTGTTCGCAAAGGCTCGGTGAAGCTGGGGTTCGGATTGCCTGTAAAGGAGCCCTAAACCCTACCTAAGCCCATAAAGGAGCCCTTAACCCGAAGCTCTTAAACACGCCCTTAACGTTTTCGTCACTTTTCGGCCATCCCTGTAGTTTGGACATATAGCAGAGGCCAGGAAGAATCTTTCGGAGCACACCTAGGCGTGTGAACGGGGAGAACCCGAACCCATATCCCAAGGAAGCCCCTGAAGCCCTGCAGCTCTAATGTAGGGGCCTAAATGGTTTAGGGTTTATGGTTTAGGGTTTCGGGAATAATTACCAACATGATCTTGGGGGTTCCTTAGTATTCATACAGTATCATGGGCCCCAAAACCCCATTCCTAGGTTCCTGAGTAGTACCCTTTTCCCTTTTTTAGTGTATTGTTCCCAAATAAAACTGAATAACAGGAAAAGGGTACCCTTATTATTAAGGGGTCACTCAGGAACCTAGATTCTAATTACTAAGGCCCCTGGATTAAACCCTGGGCTCCCGCTTTTTTTTGGGGGGTGTTGCCTTCAGGTCCCCAATCAAACCAAATGCGCTTTGTCCTGTGGTTTTCCGGGAGTGACATCCTAAATCGGGTTTAGGGTTTAGGGTTTAGGGTGTAGGGTTTAGGGTTTAGGGTTGCCTAAATCTTGAGCGTTACGCAATTCCTAGACCCATGAATCCCATGCCCGACAAGGCTTGGGTTCTATGCCAGTGCCAAAGGTAGCACGGCCCAGGCCTGGGACTTCTGAGGTTTTGGGTTTAGGGTTTAGGGTTTAGGTGGGAGAGGGTGTCGTCTCGCCTATTTTGCGTGGAGTTTTCCGGATGTGTCCAGGGCTCTTCAGGTTGCAGTGTTTCAGGGTGTGCACGAAGGCCCTGATACTGTCAGGGGTGAAACTCCAAAATCTAGAATCTAGACCCTCGGCCCTAGCTACCCGAACCTTAGGCACGACAGCCGAAGCCATTGTTTTAAGAAAGCTGTTTAGTTTCGTGTTCCCGTTGGAGCTGGACCTTGAGCCAATCCCCGATGCACGAACAGTTCCATCTGGCTCAGACCCTTCGCAGCTGAATCCCGATCATAAATCCAAATGGGGGTTTCCGAAAATAGGGGACCCTAATATAGTACCCTGAATAGTAGGATCCTTATTATAAGGACCCCAAAATATGGTACCCTAATTTTCGGAAACTCTCAAATTACCCCAAACTCGCCTGCTCGTGGCCTTCCAATGCTTCCGGAGGTCTTTGCAACATCTCCGGGAAACGCATGTAGCAAAAGTTTGAAACTAAACTTCGTTGCACCCTGTCCAAAAACCAGACACCCTTTTCCCTAAATCCATACTCTTTCAACCCAAATTCCGAAGTCCTCCTCCTCCTCCTCCTCGAGCCTTCGGCTTTTCTCCCTACGTGTCCGTTCTCCTCACGAAGCCTCCGGCCTGAAGCCCTTCTTCCTGGCGCCTGAACTCTCAACCCTCATCCCTACACTCCCTGGCCCTTGATCCTAAACCCCCAAGACGCCCTTAACCCTGAACCCCCTAAACCCTAAATCCCCTAAACCCCAAGTCCCCTAAACCCTAAATCCCCTAAACCCTAAATCCCCTAAACCCTAAGTCCCCGAAACCCTTATCCCCTAAGCCCTATGAGCCCTACCCCTTGAACTCGCCATCCGAAGCCGCCGCGGCATCGACAGGACTTGGCCATGAAGGACCCGCGTTTGCGGCCTCTGAGAGCGGCTTTTGTCGACGTTCGCTGATGTTTGGGATGTGGGTCGTTTTCTAAATGGGTGGTTGTCAAAATTATGGTCCTTTTTTGGGTCCTTATCATAATACGGCACCTATTATTATACCCCAAAAGGAACCATAATTTTGACAACTACCCAAATGAGGGTTTCATTTGAGTCCCCGACATGATACGGCACCCTTTTCAAAAGGATCCTAAAAGGGACCCTAATTTAGAGAACTACCCATGCTGCATGTAGGTGCGTGGATCGAGGGTCTAAAAGTCTTCGGGCTTGGGTTTGGGGCCTGGGCTTTGGGTTCGAAGTTTGCGATGTTGGGTTCAGGTGCCCTTTGTTTGATATGCGGATATGCGCCTTGCAAGGTTGTGTCGGAGGGTGAAGTCGAACAAACGAGGTTCTCCAAAACCCTAAAGCCTAAACTCTAAACCGTTTCTGTCTTCCTACTTCGCAGAGTCGCAGAGATTCAAATTCCAGCGTTTGCCTCGCGACAACCCCCAAACTTGCTGCTAAATTATAGACCCCAAGGCCCGCCAAGGGCCCTGGAGCACAAGCTCCGTCCACCATCGGAGCCCCTCAACCTCACACATCATACCACCGTTCTGGGTTTTCCGGTTCAAGGTAAACCCTAAACCCTAAACCCTAAACCCTAAACCCGTTTAGGGTTTAGGGCTTCATATTCACCCGAGACTCCACAGCCTGCGCGGCCTTACACAGTCTCATCCATGTGGCCGGGGTCTGCAGGATACTCCTACCCCTACAGATACAGGGTTTAGGGTTTAGGGTTTAGGGTTATAAGTAGATCCACTTTGCCGAAACATCGACGCCTGCAAGCTTGCCCGCTGTCCAGTCTTCAAAGATCCAGGACGCCCATATCCTGATCCTTGCCGGGGCTTCAGTGACCCCGTGTCAGGGACCAGCCGACCTAGGACTTTGGCCAACTGATTTCTTCAGAGCTCGGTTTGGTCTTAGTCTTGCTTACTAAAGACTGGGATTTAATTGAGACTGGGATTCAATATGAGAGTTGGACGTCCCAACTATGTAATTGTTTGATAAGCTCGTCTTCTGGCAAGGACGTGTTGCTGTCCTTGTTGTGAGTTTTGTGTCTTTGCAGCTATGAATGCCTATGCAATATGAATCCGTCAGTCAACCAACATCCCACTAGAATTCGAATGGCACTCGCCTACAGCCTTTGAGTCGGCAGCTGTACCCACACCTGGACCTCTTCAGTAAGACCTCAACAGGCAGCAGCAAAGGATCTGAACTGGCGAGAATATAGGCTTAGGGCCGCGGAAGCCCTCAATGACAAGGACCATTTGGCCCCAAAAACCTCAAAGCCTAAGCTCCAAGCACCTGAACCTGCTAAGCCCTAAGCGATATAAGCCCTAAGTTATATCAAGGGTGTAGCTCCGTAATCCCCTAAATTACCTAAAGCCCCAAACCCGAAGCCCCTAAGCCCTTATAGTACCCCCATAGATCGTTCAACGGAGCCTTATAGTACCCCCATAATCTCTGCAGACCGCTTCGATAGAGGGGTGGGGGGGGTTGTTGTTCATGGATTTTGGGAACAACAACCCCCCCACCCCTGAGATGTAACCTGGGCGTGTATCCCCTCGCTAAAGCGTACAGGAAC